ACTGCAGACAAGAGACTTAGAAAATTTTGGGTTTTAGTGATGAAGAACTGACCTGGAAACTGAATGCTTAGCTCTGCACGGTCACATGCAAATCAGGTCTGTATGAATACTTGATGATCTGGCCCTTGACTCTTTGGGACCCTCCCAGTACATATTGTTTCTGTTAGATTTGATTTTAAGGAAGCAGTATGGTATGCTGAGAGGCAGATTTTTAGTGCTATAATTCATCTGGTACTGTGGTTTTCTGTTTCTGGGTGCCCAGTGGTTGTTGCCGTAAGCATGTTACTGTTACTTTATTGAATTTTTCATTCCATCCTTTCTGGCATAATGAAAGTGACCACTGTGTGGAGGGTGCATGTGCGAGGAGTCTCTCTAGAGCTGCATTCTTGCTACATGGAAGGGTTTGTTATCAGTTGCTTCCTCTTCCATAGACTCTCCTCTCCATTTTATCAATACTGTCTTCTGCTGTAATAATACCTTTAATGCCACTCAGACAAATTGACAGCTTTGCCAAGGGGATGGCTCAAAACGTCACCGCCACAGTGAGAATTTAGTGTATTCTCTTTATTGCATTCATTAATGTGCTAATGTATGACAATTGCTCCTTTTTCTTCTCTTTTTTCTCCTATATAACAACTTTCCACACATTTTTCATGCTGTATATCCATTGCATCCTAGGAAATTTAGAGCAGGCAGCCTTACATGACTCACTTAGTGCAGCTCAAACTGTAACATTAATGTCAGGATGCAGTGTATTTTCCCTATGTGCTTCCTACCAGAAAATGCAATATTTCAGTGGTGTGACAGTCTGTTATGTTGAGGAACATGAGACATGGTCTAGAAATCATAATGTATCAGGAATGTAAGTTGTATAGGGCATTTTTCATTTTTGAAGCCCTGAGTTATTTCAAAACTGTTTATTTTGATTGAACTTGACTGTGAATGAGCAAGATAATTTTGAGTGCAGAACTTACTAGCTGTGGCCGTGCATCATTTAGCAGAGCATAGCTTCTGCAGCTCAGGCACATGGGCAGGTGGAAGCTTGCTGATGGGTAAAGTCAGACATACCCTTACAGACTCCTCTTGCTACTCCTGAGAGCGCGCATGAGCAGAATTGCTTTAAGAGGTGCAAATGAAATAAAAGTGCCTGTACCAGACTATTTGTTAATTGTCCAATATGGCTGAATAATACTGAAATATCTTTGAAGTTGTATCTTTCACTTATATTTAGAGTGGGACAAAACAAAGAAAACATCTTTAAATTTTGATGGCTATTTCTTTACATCAGCCCTTATCTTGACAGTGAAATCAAAAGGAGGGACTTGGGACACTTTTCCAGCTATGATTTTAAGACAGCCTCTCACTAACTCTGTCTTCCAAGTGCCAGTGAAGTGCTTTCCATTATTCTCAGAGGTATATATATTCATTCCATTCTAACTTGGAGCAGATGTTGAGTGTAGTTACCAGGCTAGCTGTGAAACATTGCTCTTCTGGTGTAAATCATTGCTCTTCTAAATAGCTGTTCCATTGTCACATTATAAAGTGTTATGCAAAAAGGAAGTAGGTTTTGTGATCAAGTTGTCCCTGAGAAGCCTTCCACAGCCAGAGGGCGAGCTAACTTGCTAGTGTGGTGAGTGGAAGGCTGGTGCCTACACGTTTGCAGAGGGGAATGACTGGAAGACACATCTACTCTTCTGCTCCTTACATTGAAATTATGAAAGTTGCTGAAGACTTCAGGGTTGGGAGTCTTCCTAGATGCCGTGCGTTGATTTCAGAGAGTCTGCAGCTGTGAACAAGTGAGTGTCAGATAAGGAATGTCTGTTTGTACATTCAGAAACTGGATGTAAGGGGTAGGTGTAATACAATGTCTATTTGACAAGTGTTATCATTCTTTTATTGTTGGTCTAACTTTCAGATCGGTGTCTTGTAACCTGTATGTATGACCTGAACTGTAAAGAAATCAACCCTAATTCAAACTACAGATTCTTAAGCAACCTTTACTTACTAGAAATATATAAAAGGGCCACACATCACTTGTATTTTACATAATAGGTAAGGAAAATTTTCTCGTCAGTGCATGTTTTTGTGTATTCCTCTGAACAGTTACAATTTCTTTTCAACAGGATATTGAACTGAATTCTGGTTTTGAGTCTGGCTGTTTTTTCTATGGTAAAAATTGCTGTCCTAGAAAGGATTTGCTATCTTCTGGTAGGTTTGAGAAATTGATATTTCAGTCCAGCATCCTGTTTGGAAGATACGCATTGATTTCCCAAGAAATGTACAGCACAAAGATTCATGTTATCATCTGACAGTACTCCTTCATGCTTCTACATTGAGAGTGAATCTTTAGCATTCAGGAGCTGTTAACCTAACACAAAGAGCAAATGCTTTTGAGATTCCCTTTCTGAATTAATATCTAGTCCAAGAATCAGAAAACTTTATTTTTTTTCCTGTATATAAAGAGTCTTAGTGATCCATGGGGACTGAATGTACAGCTTAGAGATTAGAGCACTGGCTAAATATGAAAATTAGATATCCACTGGTAATTGAGAGGACTACAGAGGAAATGACAACAATTATAAAGACCTATTCAGAAAGTTTTAGAACTTGTGATTCTTGTTTAGAATAAGTGGACTTTCTTTCAGTCTTATTCACTGTTGTCTAAAATGCAGGGACAAATCGAAATTAGCATGATAATGTTTTCTTTCTAGCTTATATTGTTTTCCTTAGCAGTATATCAGAGAATCAAGCATATCTGGCCTAATTTTCAGAAATTTTGGACTCTCGCTCTCCCCTCACGGTGTTTTGATTGAGAGCTCTTGATGAGAAATGTTTGTCAATTCTCAGTTCATGCAACTCGTAGTGATGCTACGTTCCCTTCCTCTCAGTACCAAACCTAATTACTGTGTTTTGGTGATAGGAAAATACTTTTCTCACCTGATCTGTTTTTAGCTCTTGCTATTCCTTATTGTAAAACACAGTCAAAAAAGAGACTGTTCCTTCCACTGTTTTCTGCAATTCACTGTTCTCTAAGAAGAATATTTTTTTCATTCTGTTTGGAGGAAGAGAGTAAAAAAATCTTCAGTATAGACACTGTGCAGAAAATGAAGCTTCCAAACTGTTGAATGAATTGGAAGTTTCTCTTCCTGCAACTGTCAGTGTGATCATGGATGGAGTGTGTTAGATCATTTTGATACTGGCCCCACTGTAGCTTAGAGATTCTGCTTGTTGGAAGAAAAGATTGTCATCTGTGATTGTACAGGGAACAGGGACAGATGGAGAAACAACTAAACAAACTTTTTAGCCTTTGTTAGCATTTTGCAGCTACTTACTAATACCTAAGATAAAAACACCACAAGTTTCTGTAATTTTGTTCCTGTTCTTGTTTCTTTTATCACTTAAATTGTCATTTAACAAATTCTGAAGTGACAGATGACTGCTATGGAAGCTGAGAAAATTCACAGCAAAACCAACTGTAATTTCCTAATGCAAGAGAATTGAAAATTGTTTTGACCATACTGATCAGATACGAATATAGAACTGGAGACAAACCTGCTTTGTTGTGCTGACACTTGAGGATGGTATGGACTGTGAATTCCAGGCCAAGTGACCTGAGACTCGAGACATCTCCAGAATGATAAAGCCATGCTTTTAAAGTAATAAGCTCCTACTGTGCTTCTGCTAATATTTACAACCACCTACACTTCATTTTCTGTGACTCAGAGTTACAGCAGCATTTAAAAGTAATTTCTATAGATTTTTTCTTACAGAGAAGAGAAACTGGTCATTTTTCAAAGTTAGATTCTGTGTTATATGACTTGATAGTTTTTTATTCCTTTTGTGTAATAACAACTCCTGTAGTGTAAAAAGGTTCTGTGAAATTGAGCTTTCTTAAGAAGAGGAAGGTGAGGAGGGAGGATTTCTATCTGCCTGGTTGTGGGAATAATTAGGAAGGTGTAGGCATTACAGGGCATATTCATGCTGTCTCATTTGGAAGCTCTGAACAAAGAATTTTATGTTGGTGCTTCAGAGGGGCTTCCAAACCTGTCTTCTGTGGGCTCTGTGCAGGGAGCAAAGGCACTCAGTGCCTGTGGTCAATGTGCCTGTCGGCAGTCAGCTGAATTCATAGCTGAAACATTTGTCTTCTTACATCTCTCTTGCACCACCCCACCTACCCCCCCAAAAACCCCCCCACAACTAAAAGATTCCAGAATGCTGTGGGTAGTAAAACTACAGTGCTTGCAGGTGTAGAAGGAGGCAACATCTGGATTGCAGTCACAAAATCTTGCAGCAGTTTGATTGCCATTCCTTAGATTGTTCCTGTTGAGTTTATCTTGGTAACGCTTAAAATTTAGGTCTGACTTTTCTACTCTGTTTCTTTTTGAGCCCTTTTGTTATCTGAAATAGTTCTCACCAGGAAATACTAGTGAGATCTCCAGGATTATAAAAGAGGTATTCCTCACTTGATTATATACATTACATTTTATTAGACATTACTTCTCTGGTCTTCCTGACCAGTATTATCATGGAGAATACCATGAATGTGCAGAAGCAGAATGTAGTCAACCAGGAATGGATTGATGTTTTTTCTTCTGGAATTTGTTATTCCCCAATATAGTGACTCATGAAATAACCCTTGAAATACACCTGCCTTACAAAGGATTTCATGACTTTGCTGTAGACAGGTTCTTTGTGGTGTGGAATAACCTTATATCCCTAGCAGAATAAACTACTGGTGTAATGCAGAAAATGTTTATTTCTGACTGTCTTCTATGGAATGGAAAAAGGTCCCTTTTGATGAATGCAAATTTCTGTAATGAATTTACATTTATTCAACAATACATAAAAACTCCTGAATTATAAATCTTACATTGCTTGTCTAGAATTTTTACTCTATTTCATTATTTTGATCTACTGAACTAGAAGCAAAATTTAGAACCAATAAATACTTAATGACACTGAGACAACTTTAACTGACAATGTTTGTGTTCTCTTAACAGAGTCTGGTTCTGCAATTACTGCTTCCTGTGTTGGTTTGGGGAATTCTACAACACCTCCACCTGGGCAGGCAGGAAAACCAGTGCCAGGATACAATGGTAAGACATTTCTAAACATACTTATATTCCTGATCAAGTCGTCTTTTATTTTCATATCTGGTAGAGCAAGCAAATTACAGTCTTGCTAGCAAATTTTCCTCCTTCCTGTAACAGGAAGCTCTGCTTTTTTTGTGTGTTGTGGAATGTGATTGTGAATAAGAAATTCAGAGTTATGTTCAAGAATAGTGATCAACTTACTTGTGTCTTTAAGGCTTTGTCTACAGTTGCACTGTTTTAAATGAGAGCAGCAGTAAAATTTGTATTGGCTGGTGAGGAAGAAAAATGTTAATAATAACCATCAGCAAAAGAGGAAATAATAACTAGACAAATAATTGCTATAATTTGCACTTCGAGTGTTCTGTTACACCTCTGTATAAATAGTTTTTACACCTGAGCCTAAATAGTTTTGATTTGGGTGATGTACATCGAATAATTATGTCTTGGGGACACATTGACTAGATTGATTAGCTTCTCTTTGGCCCTCCAATTTTATATGAGAAGTATTCTTGTGAGTAAAGAAAATTCTTACCGAGTTCTGTGTCTTCTACAAAAGTGTCATAGTGAGCTAACAAGAAGCTTGGCAAGAATAAAAACCTTCTATTTGAACTCATGTCATGCTTTTATTAAGAAGACCAAAATCAGTTTTCTGCCTTTATGGACAGGTTAACAGGCTTATATTTGAGAGAGCTGTTAAGCACATTTTCTTTCAGTACTTGTAGAGCATTTTTATTTCCAGCTTGGGAAGTGGTTGGCTATGGACTAACATTAAAAGGATGAGCACTCATTGTCTGGAAGGTATTTGCATGCAGAGGATTAAGAGTGCAAGAATATTTTCATCCCTGGAAACCCTGATAGTTTTCAAGAATTATTTGAAGTCCAAAAAATACATACATTAAGGATCAAACCATCTTTAGGAAGAGTACTCACATCATTGGGTTAGAAAGAGCTGGTTTTTCTTCTAATACATACAAATGGAAGTGAATGTTAAAGAAAATAAACATTTTCAGCGACTCTGGGTTTTGGCATTTATAGTTACAGCATGAAAACAAGCAATAGCTTAGAAACAACATTAAAACAAAGCTATGAAGTTTGTCCAGAGTTGTAATAAATAGGGAAGAGTGGAAGAATGTAATTGCATCACGCATGCTACCAGATAATAGTCAGACCTAGAATAAAAGTATGAGTAGCAAGAATATAAAAATTTCCTATGATTTTTTTTTGAACATTGGGCATATTGTAAGTAAAGAATTCCTTTAAACAGAATGAAGGAAATGTCTTTAAGATACCTTAAAAGGAAAGCATGAAGTGAACACTAAAATTCAGTAAAGATTTATGAAACAACTTAACCTCTTTCAGCCTTTGATTTGAGACCATTTATGTCCTGTATTGCAGCTATTCATAAATTAGTGGATCTTGAAATTACTCTGTACTGGCAACTGTCTTTCTGTCACCCACTTGTTGTTTGTTGTTGTTACTGTATTAATTAGAAGAGATCCTTATGCCATGTAGAAGACGGATTCTGTATTTTTAGATTATGCAACTGTTAATGTTTTTGGACATTGTTAAAGTTATGTTGTATTTATGCTGCGATTAAATAGGAAGTTATAAAATCTACTTTACTTCTTTTTTAAACACAGCCAAATTCTTTCCTGACACATTATTACTAACATAAACTGATTTATTTGCTCATTTTGTGGAATATAAACAATAAAAGCAGTATTTAGCTATATCAAAATGCAGTCATACAAATGGTGTTTAAAAGTGAATCAAGATGCCATATTGATTTCTACCTCTCTTACCTTAAATCAGACATTATAGTGTGCTTTCTCTTTTATCTACTTGAGCCCTTTCCAGATAATTTCGTTGCATTATTTTCAAAGTGAAGCAAGCGCCACATTTTGAAGAATTGAGTTCTTCAGTAATTCAGGAGGGAGCAGCATAATATTTCCCTTCCTGAAATTATTGTACATTTAAATACACTGCTTGCAAGGAGGACAATAAATGCTAGTATCGCTGCTTTGATAAAATAATTGCAATAAACTGTTTGGATTTTACTTAAGTATAATAAAAATAGAAAAAAATAGAAGAGGAAACACTGAAAGCTATGTTTAAGTAGTGGGACCTTTTCATTATGTGTTCCGAGTCTAAATTCTCCGAATACGATACTACGTTCTTACTCATGTTCTTATACATCTGAAAATATATAAGAATGAAAATGAGTTTACAGATTAGAAATGGGTTTTATTGATGTCATTTTTGCTGGTTTTCATAAGTGTCTTCTATGTGTCCATTCTTCCTTTTGATTTCCTATCCCAGTTATTCCAAATCACGCATTATTGAAACTGGCCTTGTGTACTTACTTGTGTCTATGGGCTGAGCCGCTGCTTTCAGCAGGCTCTTCAGTTACTTAAAAATTACCATGCTCGTTGAAGGAGTGGTTTCAGCCAGAAATAGTAAATTGCAGATGTTGGCATTCTTTGGATACTGGATGTGACATCACTCCTAAGACTCTTAGCAGGGTTTTAGTCAGAAACCGGTCATCTTCTTTTCCCCATTTCCTCTGGAACTGTTTAATACAGATTGTAAGATCATTTGTAGTAATTTAGATTCAGCTGAACATTGCTTTCTTTGCTTGGACAGGTTTCAAAAAGTGTGCTTTGAAATCCACGTCAGCCCAGTCTGTCAAAACCTTCCCTTGCTGTTTTTCTGTGGTTTAGTCATTGCACTTTAATTCCATTTATCACAGGCCAAATCGATATCTTTTGTTCCTTCCTGATGTCCACACCTTCAGGAGGAAGGGCTAGTTGTAGTAGATTTCACAGATGGCTGCACAGAAAAGGCTATTTCAGGTGTTTTCCTTTAAAAGCCTCAGTACCAGGATATGATGCTTTCCCTGAAGGTGATGGACCAGTGTCATCCAGGGAAGAGGCTTCTGTTTGAGAGGTCTGGATTCTTCTCTGTGCTCCAGCATCACCCTCCTGTGCAACTTTGGGTGGTTCACGAGTCACTTGACCTCTTTGCACAAGACTAGACTAAGCCTTAATGTGATTTCTCACATTAACTCCGATAATCTTAGTTGTTACTCCTTACTCGTGTTACCTGCATACTTTTTTTCTTGTATTTCACATGTATCTGAAGGATCCTTTGCTATTTGAAAGTTTAGATTTTCTAGTGTGAAAGTGTCTTTTAATTTTCGTTCTATATTTTTCTCTTTTGGGACTTTGTGCTATTTCTGCTTTCAAAGCACGAATGTTATTTAAGACTTTTTGTACTTAAGGCTGAATGTTAATTAGGTCATGAGATTATCCAGTTTGGCACTCTCAAATTACTTAATTCCTTTTGTTGCTTGGTGTATTGCCATTCTGAAGTGTGACATGATATCCATGAAGAAAGACACTGCCCTCCACCTAAAAATAAGCTACTTAACAGGACTTCTTTTCCTGTATTACTTTTTTTGCAGTGATGATTCTGGATGAAAATAAGGAACCAGTGAAGGCGAAGACTTTGGGAAATATTGTGGTAAAGTAAGCATACTAGGTATCTTACAGTTAAGAGAGACTTCCTACGTGAGCTGATTGTCTTTTGACTGAATTGTATGTATATATATAAAACAATTATTGAAGTAATGAGGTTTGTGAAACAAGTCTGTCTCTGACATTGATACTAAACTGCTGAAACTATTTATGTCCATTAATGTTGAAAAAATGCACATGAAATAGTGTGAGTGAGTGGGTGTGGATTGTTGGTTGTGTTTTTTTCTTCTCAAACAACAGCAGAGTATACCATTTTTTCGATTACCAGCCTGTTGGCACAGGATGTAGCCTTCGTGTGGTGATGGATGAGCAAGATCCTGAATCATTCCCTTCACTGTTTTATCTTCAGTTTAGGGAAATAGTGCAGCAGTGCAGACTGACGTGCTTTGATTTATGGGTGTTATTGCCTCCTCTTTCACTATCTCCTAATACCAAGTGCTGCAGTCTTAGAGGGAGACTGTGTATTTTCTGTTCTCTGTAAAAACAGCACGGTGTCTCTGCGTATGCTTTGCATGGAACAGTGTGCAGTTGTGCTACTACTTGGACAAAATACATCCAGGAAAAGACTCCTGCCAAAAAAAGGAGTTAAAAAAAGCCTGCTGTGCATCATGTAGGTGATTTTTAGTACCATTTACTAGACTCCTTTCAGATGAGGTCCATAAGCTTTAATATTCTTCTTGAAACTAAACCTTTCTTAGCACCTTTTCTTAGATACAAGGGCCTCTTGTTTACGTAACACTGAACATCAGTTACATTTCTCTTACCTTCTGCCATCTTGCTGTTAACAGAACCTCTCCTTACTTCTGTAAAGCTCAGTAGGCTACTGCTCCTCTCCAGCCCATGCTTGCTTTGGATTCTGGATGTTTCATAGGCTTTTATAGGCAAATGGCATTTTTCTGAGACAGATACCTACTTTGCAGTTAACATGTTAGCTGTAGTGTTCTGATTTTAGTTGCAGAAAGTGCTGCAGTTCTAAACACCTCCTAGTTGGCAGCAAATAAAAGCCCCAAAAGAAATCCATTCATCTGCTTCTTATGTGGTAAAATTAGGAGAGTTGTGGTAATTGTCTTTACTGCTTGCTTAGATAAATAGAAGGCAGTAAAAAGATGAGCATTAACCTTCAGTGAACTGAAATTGTATCGAAAGCCAAAGCATTGGGACAGATGTACCGGTTTTGACGGGTTGTTAGAGAGAGATGTAAGCTGAGAGTGGCAGCAGTGGGCACGTGAGCTGGGGATGAGGCACGTACAAGCTCCAGGCACTGGAGCGTGCCGCAGATGTGCGGTGCTGAAGATGCATGTGGCTGGCTTCACAGCGCTTGCTCGGAAGTCGGAGTTGCTGAGGTGTGGAGGGTTTTCGCTCAACTGTACCACTGATCTGATACAACTAGACCACTGTGGAGACTAAGGTAGTATCGATTGCTGTTATTGTACTGTGTGACACAGAGGTGTGCTTTCAGAATAAAATCTATGCCCTGCCTAATTTTCAGCATCTTGGGCCAAGCCACCAGGACATGGAGGCATGTGTTTTAGTGCACACACGATCTCTCTTGAATCGACACGCTTTTATTCAGACATAGCTTTCCTGTGACACATGTAAGATTATGCATTCTTTCCATTGCCAAGTATGAATAATTAAAACTGCTCCAGCCTTTAATGAACTGTGGTTTGCATTATCAATATTTCAGGTGAGAGTGGAGAGCTGTCTCACCTCTGTGTTTCCTGATGCCATGATAAAACATGAGCTTGTTCATCAGTGGAGAGAAAAGTTTTTTTTGAAGAAAATTGATCCTGGCTGTCTTAGCCATTCAGCTAGGATGGAGTAAATTGCCTACCAGATGTTATCATGTCTCTCCACTGACTGCAGGGATGATGCAGCCGACCCGTGTAGGTACTTAGCGTTACCTACCAAAGCAAAATGGAATGAAATGAACTCCATCCTTTATCCCAATCAAACTCCTGGTAAAGACTGCTGGGGACTGCTTGAGCTCTGCAGTTCTCACTAGATGTAGTGGTTTGACCCTGGCTGGCGGCCAGGTACCCACCACAGCTGCTCTATCACTCCTCCTTCTCAGCCAGACAGGGGAGAAAATATAAAAAAAGGGCCTATGATTTGAGGTAAATGCATCTACCGTCCCGCTCAAAACAGACTCGGTTTTGGGAAAATCAGTTAAATTTATTAAAGAACAAATCAGAGAAGAGTAGTGAGAAATAAAAACAGATCTAAAAAAAAATAACACCTTGCCCTCGTCCCTCCCTTCTTTCTGGGCTTAACATCAATCCCAATTTATCCACCTCCTCCCCCCGAACGGCGCAGGGCGACATGGAATGGGGGCTGTGGTCAGTTCATCTGATGTCGTTTCCATCACTTCTTCTTCCTCTGGGCAAGGACTCCTCACTCTTCCCCTGGGCCGTTGTGGGGTCCCTCTCATGGAAGACGATCTTCACACACCTTTCTCCAGCGTGAGTCCTCTCACGAGAGACAGTTCTTCACAAACTGCCCCAACATGAGTCTCTCCATGGGGTGCAGTCCTTCAGGGGAAACTGCTCCAGCACAAGTCCCCAGCGGCGTCACAAAAGTCCTGCCAGCCAGCCTGCTCCAGTGTGGACTTCTCTCTCTCTTCACAGGCTACAGGTTCTGGCAGCAACCTGCTCCAGCGTGGGCTTCCCACAGGGTCACAGCCCCCTTCAGGCATCCACCCGCTCCAGCGTGGGGTCTTCCATGGGCTACAGGTGGACATCTACAACCTGTCACCTCCGTGGGCTGCAGGGGCACAGCCTGCTTCACCATGGTCTTCAGCGCGACCTGGGGGATTCTGCTCCAGGGCCAGGAGCACATCCTCCCCCATCTTTCTTCACTGACCTTGGTTTCTTCACAGATTCTCACTCCTCTGTCTTTGCCAGTTGCTGTGTGGTGCAGTTCTTTTTCCCCATTTCTTAAATATATTTTCACAGAGTCATTCCTGTCCTGTCATCACTGACAAGCTCAGCCTTGGCCAGTGGTGGGTCTATATTTGGAGCCGGCTGGCATTGGCTCTGTCAGACCTAGGGGAAACTTCTAGCAGCTTCTTGCAGAAGCCACCCCTAAAGCCCCCTTGCCACTGAAATCTGGCCAGGCAAACCCAGCACACTAGCATAGTATATAAAACATCCTTGCGACAGTTTTAAACTGTAATTTCATTCTACAGGCATCAAGAAAGCTAATTCTTACACTGAATTACTCCATCTTTTCTGCCCCAGCAAAGTATGTTCTTTACTCATCTGTCAACTGATACCTGGAGTTTTTTTGTATAACCTTAACTGTGCCCTTTGGAAACATTTTTGCTGACAAGACTTGTACAGTATGTGGACAATGCAATAATGCTTTTGACTTTGCAAGTCCTTCAAGATAAAATAATAAAATGCAGTGCCACGACACTTATGATGAAAGGGCAAGGGAAAATAAAGACGACTGTAGCTCATGAGGATGGGCTTGTATGAATTGTTTTTTGAGATAGAATCTTTGAACAGGAAAGCTAATGAACCAAGGATTTATTCTGAAGTGAAAATGGTGGCAGCAATGACCTCCATTTCCATTAGCAAGACCACTCTGATTTAGTGACACACTTCTGCTTGCGTTGCTCTGACCTGCCTGTAATTAATACACACCTGAAAGTGTGTGAGTGTGTGTGTAACGCTGATTAACCATGAGAATTTCCAAAGTTGTCTGTTTTCATAAGAAATATTAGCAAAGAGAAATCCCATTTATGTTTCAGTGCAGTGGGTAACTCAATTTTACTCTTGTACATTATAAAGATTGCAAACCCATTATGTTTATTTTATGAAGCAGTTGTCAGCACTGTCTCATTAGGTGGTGTTGCTCTTTATGTTCACTCACAAGAGCAAGAAGACTACATTTGCCGTATACTCATTCTATTCAGACAGTAATGCTTGGGAGTAAATTTCCTGTTTAATCTTAGTTAAATTTCCTCTAGTGTTTGTATAGTTAATTTTGTGGCATAATAATGAAGGTTTACAGGATAAGTGTTTACAATTTTGTTTTACTCATCTCCACTGCACAGAATCACATAAATATTTATGTTCTGTATTTAGAAAGATGTGACATAATGTAGTTACATCATATAGTAATTCTGAAATGCTTTAGTTGCACTGGTTAAATTGCATTTAAGAATAACAGCTGTGACAAGGCATGCAGACCATTAATGTTGTGGGGCTTTTTTCATGAATTTGGGATTAGTGGAGGAAGAGGAAGGAAAATTATAATGTTCTGTCAATAGTTAAAATTATCCCAGTGATGAACTAGCCAATTTTATAGAGCGTAAAATCATGCAAAACTTTATGTACAATGCTGTTAAGAGTGTAAAATATTGAAAAATAATATTTATTCATGAGATTTTGTAAAGAAAGGGTCATGATTAATTCACAGCTTTCCATAGTTGTAGATCCTAAATTAGCTGACTAGAAATGTGGCAGGACTTCTGAAGCAAATACCATAAACTCAGTGCCCTTTAGTGGAAGAGATGTCATGATGTCCTTTAAGCAGTGTTATATGGGAGGTCAAATTAGATAATCATGATGAATCTGTGCAAAATATTTCTCTCCCTGCTAGCCTCCCACATGTTTTGGGGTTTTTAACAGCCTTATGTTTTCCCTTTACAAGTGAAACAATGAGTAGGACATTCAGTGTGGGAGCACTTTGGCCAAAGATGGGTTTTGTAACAGATTTCTGGCTGAGTACTTCTGAGTAGCATTTCAACTCTTAAACCCTTTCTCTCTTCCCCTCTAAACTATATTTTTTTCCTGCAAAATCCACACTGAAATCAGCTGCTTTTGTGATCTGTGTCAGCTAATCACAGGAGTATTTCATGCAGACTGGTAAATGTTTGAGGTACTCTCTCTTCTCTTGCCCATTCTCCACCCTTTTTCCAGTGCTGCTGTTCCTCCTATCTGCAAAAGCTTCTGGATTCCAGATGGCTTTTGAACTTGCAATCAAAAATTTTAGGGGGGATGCTTATGCGCAGCAGTACATAAATGCTGAATAATAATATAGCTGCCAGTCAAGATGATTTAGCTGTAATCACAAGCCCAAACTCATTTAACAATGGCTTACACTTGCTTTGACTGGCTGTAATGAACAGCCTCTGAGTACCATTGTCTACCATAAAATAAAAGGATGTCTTTTCTGAGACTCAGCAAGGTAGCATCTCTAATAGTTTTTGACTTTCATTTGTACTTTCAGAAATCTGCTTTTCTGTGTAAATTATCTTTTGAGTGCTGTGTCTGTAATTGCTTTGTTCCATCAACAAGGAATGTTACACCATTTTGATGAGTGGCATCCTGAAAGGATGTGACATGTGGAGTCAGATTTTCTTGGGCTAAGCTGAAGGTGAGCTACTCCATGTAAGGTCAGCCACCGTTGTATGAAAAAGAAATGAACTGTGAAACAATGCTTAAAAACCAGACAATGATTGTCACTCAAAATTCTCTAGCAGAAAACAGTGTGGAAGTACTTCAGACTTCTTTTGTAATGCTGCCAAGCCTGCCTAATCTTAGTTTTTCCAATTTATAATGAAATTAACCTTCTTATCTTTATAAAATGTAATCAGAGTGAATCTTTGTCAAATTAACCCATATAATTTACATCTATTAATTTACACAAGTTTACTTAGTTTTCCTGATGCTGTTCTGAATGTATTCAACCTTGAAATGAGACATGGGCCCGGACCTGTGTTCCTGTGGAGGTACAATTGTCATCTTAATTTCACCAGAGTAAGTGGAGAACAACATCATTTGCACTGCTGTAGCTGTGCAGGTGAAAAAAAAGGACATGAGCGAGATCAAAATTCGGCCCTATACATCTTTTTTGAGCTTTGAAAACCAGAGGTAAGCTTTTCTCAAGTTCAGCTCAGTGTAGGGTTTTGTCTTTAACCTGAACTTGGGTTTCAAACTGGGCCTCTTCTTTGCTCGTTAAATGGGATCAGTAGCAGTTGACTGAACCAGTAGTTTGATCCAGACTGATCCAGCATAGCTGGTAACACATTCATATTTTAGAAAAAGCTGGCAAGCTTGTCTTGAATTTGTATATATTGAAACTTATGACTGTCCTCTCCAGAAGGAGGAAGCAATGATAAGATGGAAGATGCTACCAGAATTACTAACATATGAAAAATCAAAGCAAGAATAGTGGAAGGGAGAGCTTATATTTGAACTGATAGCAGATGCAAAGGCTCAACACTGGCTTGTTTTTGGCTTGGCATGCAGGATGAGACAGAGACAAGCTGACAGATAGGTAGAAAAATAACAGTAAATATGTTCCAAAGGAAAACGAAGCAATGCAACTTCTTTGTGTGTTGTAGAAATGATGATGAACCTGCCTCCTTCTGTCTTGGTCTTTTGAGGTCTTGTTGCTTAAGAAAGGAAAGCAGGATCATCTCTGGGACAATCATGCATACTTATGGATTGCTGGCATTTTTTGTTCAATACATGCTCTTAATAAAAATGATCCCAAAAGGCCTTGAGCATTAACTCACTGTGTGGACAAAGAGGCACTGTTTTTTAAATACAGAACTTCTGTAGGTGTGTGTTATGTTTCCAAGAGAGAACAGACCCAAACCCAACATCTCAAAATGTTCCTTTTTTATGGAGGTGTTGAGGAAAAGAAGAGATATTTATTTTCAAGTTGCTGTTATTTTCTAACTCTCTCATTTTCTATCTTCTGACTCCTTGCACATAATTATAATCCATTCCTAGTCCCTTTGGAATTCATGCCCAGCATTCCCACTGACAGCTGTGGAAAAGAGGTGGTTTTGGCTCTGGGCATTGTAATTCTGATCGACTGGCAATATTCCAATGCGTGAAATTTTGTTCTGGCAAGCTGAATTCATTTTAGTAATTATTTGTGTTTGCACAGCACCTAGAAAGCCTGGACAGTCACGATGCTAAGAGCTTTACTATCCTGGAAGAATTGTTTGTGCCCATTGCTCTGCAATTATTTTGCCTGAAAGATGAACACATGGAAGATGGCATTATCTTTTTGCTTATTAGGTGGAATAGAGTCCTAACTGCAAATAATCTTTTACAGAAAGCCATGGAAGCACATTTTCAGATTATGTGCGGATTGTGCTATGGTTTCCGTAGACTTGTGAAATATGCACTGTGGATGTACTTACCCATGCAATTTTCCTTTTAAAAAAACCCACAAAACTAAGCAAAAGAAATCCACCTCACAAAAAAACCTGCCCAAAACCAAACGAAACAACAAACCAACAAAACAAAAACTCATGATGGGAGCAGGTATTATATGTTTCTGTGTCCAGTTCTGGGCTCCCTGGTTCAAGAGAGACAGGGAACTACGGGAGAGAGTCCAGCAGAAGCCAGCAAAGATGATCAGGGGACTGGAGCATCTCTCTTATGAGGAAAGGCTGATAGAGCTGGGACTATTTAGCCTGGAAAAGAGTAGACTGAGAGGAGACCTCATCAGTGTCTGTAAATATCTAAAGGGTGGGTGGAAGGACGTTAGAGACAGACTCTTTTCAGCAGTGCCCAGTGACAGGACAAGGGACAAGAGGGCACAAGCTGGAACACAGGAAGTTTCATCTGAGTATGAGGAAGAACTTTTTCACTGTGAGGGTGACAGAGCACTGGCACAGGCTGCCCAGGGAGGTTGTGGTGACTCCTTCTCTGGAGACTTTCAAAACCCTCCTGGATGCATTCCTGTGTGTCGTGCTCTAGGTAACTCTGCTTTGCTGGAGGGGACTAGATCTCTAGAGGTCCCTTCCAACCCCTAACATTTTGTGATTTTTTAGTGATATATTACATACTCCTGTGTTTAGATTTGTAAACAACTACAGTCACAGAAACAATACTTCTCTGACTTCAGCAATATATTATTTTCTTTTTCTGTTTAATGACTAACTGCAAGGTACTGAATAGAGCTCTGGAGGAATTATTAAGGAGTTTGTCACTATGAACTGTCTTTCTCTCCCATCACAAGGATGTTTGAGTCTGGTCAATAAATTTAAGGTGCAAAATTTACCATGACTGAGACTGTTATGAATTGGTATTCTATTAGCTACTAGGCAACAACCATAGTAATTGTCATTCTCTAGAGAAGTTTTTAATCTAAACAAGAGATTCTTCTTTTAAACTCATGCATACGCAAACTCTAGGGTCAACATACTGTTTTGCTAATTTATTTTTTCAAAATTACCTCTATAGGTCGTGTTTGTGTATTGCAAGAATTACTTACGAAGCTTGAAAGGCTTAAAATAGGCCAGTGAATTCCTTCCACATGGGCAGAAGCCAGCCTGCCTGGGTGACTACCTGCGAAGTGTCTTGGTGTTTCTGGCCTTTCCTTAACCATACTTACAGGGAATGTGATTTATACCATGTGCTGAGCCAGAACCCTCAAAGAAAGTAGTAACAGTTATATCACTATAACAATAATATAATATTTACTTTACTATATATAATATTTATATTACTACTAGTAATATTTATATTGCTTATATTTATATGTGTATATTCTGTTATGCTGATAGAGCTGAATTAATCTGAAAAAAGCATGAATTTGAATCATTGCTAGATGGTACAGCCTTTTCAATGTAGCTTGTGGTATTTATATCATATTTAGGTTTTAAAAAAGTGTGTGCGTATATAACTATTCTTTCTGTAAATGTAATGTTAGAAATGTACATGTCACTGAGCTGGTAGTACCTGTTGTTGTGACATGAACATCGTAGGAGATTTGTAATGACTGATACCAGTGTTGCTGTGCTACAGAGAGGTGTTTCCCTGCTAGAGATGTTGCCTTCTGATGTCACAGGGACGCCTTCAGAGTAGAAAATAAAATACCTTTGGCTAAAGATTTGCTAGTTAGGAATGTAGGCGTACGCTAGTAAAATCTGTATAAGGCATTTATGATTTTGTCTGGGTAAATATGCTTGCTTGCATGGTCATTCTCTCTCTGTTGCTAGGGTCCAGCTTCATAAAACGTGTGTTGATATGCCCAAATATGTGTCTCTCAGGCAATCCAAGTAAGCTGTGTTTAACCCTGTCAGAGCTTGGAAGGAAGAAACAACCACTTCTTTGTTAGCTGAGACTTCTGTAGCTTCTCTTCTTCTGGCAGATGCATATGTGAAATGTCCCATCATTTGTCATGCCCATATCCTTGACTGAAAAATTGTGTATATAGTATGCATTGAAAACTCAGCTGATAAGTCAATCCAGAAATTTGCAGCTTCACTTCTTTAAAAAAAATAAGTCCGGTTATTTTAGAAAATTCTGAAAGTGACTTTTATGAGTATACTTTCAAAGAACTCCTCCAGTGGTTCCAGTGATAGCATGCACAGCTTAAATAAAGAAAAGCATTTTTACTGGGATTTTCATGACTGAAATAATTTGAGTTATATCTTACAGAAACTGGAGATCTGTATGTCTGCTAATTCATATGTCTGTGCATGTGTGATTGTGTATGGGTGTTGGAGAAAGAAATACCTATAATAAAGAAGTCTGTATCATAGCATATATGCATACATTTCTGAATGATACTTAATCCTTGGAAACATTTAAAGCTGAATGCTGATAACATATTTATAGTAAAGTATATAGTGTTTACTAAACCAAACATTATTTTACTGAATGCCAAAAATACTTATGTTATATAAAAATTATGATGTGGTTACAGTTCAGAGCTATATGCCTGTGTTCACAACAAATACGTGGTTTGATTGATCTGTTATCAGCATATTATTAAGCTGAACTCTTTTCTGATAGTATAGCTAATGATTCTTTATCTGAATGGGAAGCATGAATGGAGAGCATGAGTTGTATTTGTTGTATGTGTTTTTCTTACTACTTGCTTCTGCTCTTTTTAATTTAAGGTTGCCTTTGCCTCCTGGAGCATTCTCAGGTCTTTGGGAAAATCAGGAAACATTCCAGAAGTTATATTTCCAAAAATTTCCAGTAAGAATCACGAAATTCATTACATAGACTTTTGGTAGCCCTGCAGAACTGAATGACAGTAGATTTAAACTGAATAAAATACAAAGTTATTAGACCGTGTTTTAGTGAGAAATCTTTAATATATATGTTAAACAATTAAAAACTTCTCAAGGTAAGTTTCTTCATCCATACTTTAAGCTTTTGGACACCCTTCTGTTTAAGATCTGGAACAAAAGAAATAAACCTCAGGCTTCTAAATCTGAAAATTTTTTTTATGTATTTGATCTAATAAAAAGATGTAAACCTCACAACCTTAGACTAGCACAACTTCAAATACACCACTGCTGTTGAATTGCAGTCATTCTAATTAAGTATCAGTCCAAAATATGTACTTGCCCACTGTGGTCCTAAATACATTGGGGGCTCTTCGCTGCATTAGTTATATTTCCTTGTCAAATGAACTGACCAAGAACTGGCTTTCTTCTTTCTGTATAGAAATAGATAGATTGCTCTAATGTGGATGTCCAAAAGGGACGGTTTGGTTAAATTAAAAGTAAATGAGTGAATTGATCAGGCAACTTAATTTTTGTGTGCACTTGCATGATGATGAAATATGTTTGGATCCAGCAAAAAGGAATATCTTTTTGAGCAGTTTGACAGCTGTCACTATGTTGTACCCATTTCACTCTCCTTGTGTAGACTCAGGCAACATCCTTCTCCAAGCTGTCAGGGATCAAATTAAGCAAAATTGGAAAAAATCTAGGTTTATGTATTGCCTTCTGTTCTCTCTTAACAAAGACTACAAAACCTTTCTGGAAAAAGGGTGCTGCCTGGTATAAGATGGTGAAAAGTATTATAGAATTAGGTCTTTTGGACACCAGAAATATTTTTCATTTGAAACAATCATTTTTGTTTGTTGGTTTCATGGGAAATGAATGGATGTTCCTAGTACTATTTCTGAGTTTATTTTTGGTTGTGTTCTGTTTAGGGATATTATGATACTATGGATGCAGGGTATATGGATGAAGATGGCTATTTATACGTACTGTCTCGAGCTGATGATGTGATCAATGTTGCCGGACACAGGATTTCAGCAGGCGCAATTGAAGAGGTTAGTATTGTTTGACAGTAAAGTAGAAGAATAAAAGATGAATAAAGAAAGTTGGCACTGAAATTCTCATTAAATCTTGCATTTTCTGCCTGTTTTTTGGGGGGGTTTTGGATTGCATTGATACTTTTAACCAAAACATTGTTTCACATCCTTCCTGTTAAGGTGCTTTCCAGGACCATAATAAATTCAGGCAATAATAAACAGTAAGACAGGCATGATTCGGCATTTGAATGTGGAGTTATGGGGCAGTATGCTAGCATGGGAAGCATTCCTGTAAGCTCTGGTAACATATTTGTTTAGGAATGCATAAAGATAATGTAGTGACAGTGTACCAGGTGATTTCACCAGCTACTGTAGTAACTTAGGAGGAGAAGCTCCTATTCCTGCAGTTTTTAGTTGTGTTTTTTTTGGCATACTTGCTGTTGGATGAATTCTTTTCACATAGACTCACTTTCAGTGCTTTTCCTTTATTTGAAGAGTTTCCTTCACAGTTTCTTGAGACCTGTTTTGTCTCTTACTGTATAAGCAGTGCTAAATGAGCAATGAAAATTTCTGTAAAAAAACCCCTTCTGTTTAATTTAAGTCATTAATATAATACCTCTGCATCTCAAAAAGTTAAAAATAGTGCAGTTTATAATAGAATCTTAATTTCATGTCATTGTTCACTCACCTTTCTGGAACCACTGTGATTGATCGCCAGTTACAAATTTCCCCCATGACATATCAATTCCTACTTTAGGGAGTATAGCAAAAGGTGTGCTGGACATACACAACGGAAAAATAACACTTTTTAGAACTCTGAGTTTAACTCTTCACTGAATCACAAACTAATCTATTAGTATTTTTTTGCTTTATAATGGCTATTAGTCTAGCAACTATTTTTTAAAGGCTATAAAACATAAAAGAGAATGGAAGAAATTCGGATTATTACACAGAACTGAACAAATTCAGGGAGCAGAACAAGCTGCTGACTCTAGGTGGCTTTCAGTCCCCTTAAACCTCTTTCGCTTTGAAGTAAATTTTTTTGTGTTGCTCTACTAAAGTGCAGCAGGGAAGGTCATCTCCACCCGTTACATTACTGCTCAGGGGCTGAGCTGGGCATCACTTCTTTGCTTCAGGCTGAATCTGAAGCTAGTACAACAAATAATGAATTGATTCACCTTCTCAGCTCTATTACCTTTGTATCCATCATCCCAAGCTCAGTGTCTCTGTTTTTTTTCCTTGCTAGTCAGGTCTTTCCCATAGAAACAAAAAATGTTTCATCTCTATGAAATTCTAGAAGCTTTTCTATTCACCTTTTGAAGAAAGCTGAAAAACAAGAGTGTTGTTGATGCATGCACAGCAAATTGCTAGTTAAATGGGAAGGCATTAGCCAGGACCACAATTAGCTCTTCAGTAAGATCAGTAAATAAAGAATTAGAGGTTCATTGAATCTCCATTTAATTAAGTGATAGTTACCTTGTTGAGCAAGTGTATTATCTGCATTTACATTATAACTGTATTGCAGGCTTAACAGGTTTTTTCTCAGTGCTTTGACTAAGAATTCCAGCTTTAGTATGTTCCAAACAATTAGTTCCTTTTTCTAAGGTGTCAGTTAGTACCATTGGAACTCAATCTTTACTGCAGTGCAGTAGATGTTACTGTTGCCTTGCCAATCAGTGAATGTCAGCTATTACGGTAACGTTGGCTTGTGTCGATCCATCCATCCCTCTTGTCTGTACATCTGTGGGGTCCTTGCTTGCCTTGACTCTTTCTGAAAAAGCCCAAATCAAATCTTACCTGAAGAAATGGACTTGAAATTGAGGAGTTCAGTAAGAGAAATCCCTTTCCCAATGGTGGGATTTCTGTCTTCTGCTGCGTTAGACATACATCCATCCTTGTGCCCCATGATCATTCTAGGAATCTCATTTCACTGTCTTGAGATTTTTTCTTTCTTTTAAACAGTTTTTAAAAGTGCTGATTCTGTTCGTCATTTCTGCTGGTTTACAAAGTTTGATAATTCCAAAATTAGTAATTACAAGTCAAAGGCATGTTGATAGGATTTTGGATAGACTGAAGGAAAATATTACAGTGACTGCAATATTCCAGCTACATAGAATCACAGATCACAGAATGTTCGGGGTTGGAAGGGACCTCTGAAGATCATCTAGTCCAACCTTCATCCCAGCATACCTAACCACTACACCATAGACTCAAGTGCTAGATCTACTTTTTTTTTAAACACCTCCAGGGTTGGTGACTCCACCACCTCCCTGGGCAGCCTGTTCCAGTGCTTCACCACTCGTTCAGTAAAGAACTTCCCCCGAATATCCAATCTAAACTTACCCTGACGCAACTTGAGGCCATTTCCCCTTGTCTTGTCATTAGTAATTAGAGAGAAGAGACCAGCATCAGCCTCACTACAGCCTCCTTTTACGTAGTTGTAGAGGGCAATAAGGTCTCCTCTCAGCCTCCTCTTCTCCAGACTAACCAAACCCAGTTCCCTCAGCCGCTCTTCATAGGGCATGTTTTCCAGACCTCTCACAAGCCTTGTTGCCCTTCTCTGCACCCGCTCCAGCACCTCAATGTCCTTCTTGAACTGTGGTGACCAAAACTGGACACAGTACTCGAGGTGAGGTCTCACGAGTGCCGAGTACAGGGGCACATGTTTGTCTTTTATGAATAAGTGACACAAGACTGGAATGGGAGAGACAAGCTGGCAACACTTCAGTTTTCACCACAAGGGTCCTGTTGATGCCTGATAGGTAATTATGTTTTGAGGATGGATAAGGACATATAGGAGGTCTGTTTGAGAGTAAGTTATGGGGAGACCCTTTGAATTGTTCCACCATACCTTTGATAGTAATGTCAGATTCCTGCAGATCCTTTTCCTATGTTTCTGTGAAAAGCAGAAGTTACTCTAGTTTTAGGCCTTACTGGTCTACTTTTCCATAATTCATTGTCTTTTCTTCTTTTTCTTTCCTTTTTTTTTTTTGCTTTGTTTGTTTGTTATATATAGCAGTCAAGTTGTTCTGGTCAGGGTTAAGAAATCAGAGCAGGAAAGGATGGATATTTATAGCAGGAAATGGGATGCATTATTGAGGCTCTGGACTAGAAGTGACTGAAGTGATGCATTGAAATACCATGGAGATTTGGAGTTTCAAAAGATTCATTCCTGCATGATTTGTCAGTTTGGATACAATGAGCTCTGGACAAAGTAGGCTGCGTCTGAATTCAAATGTACTTACATATATTTAGCTTCAGCAGGGTTCTTACAGCAAGCTTCTCTGCCCTTCTAGTTCTGGGATAAGCTCAGGCAGAACTAACTCCAGTGTGTTGCACTTGTTCTATATATGGCTTGTGCACATCCCAGTTAATTCCTGTGAAAAATACAGTTTCAAAAGTTACGTGTTAATGGTCATGCTTTTGTGCTTTGACAGACCATGTTTCTCTTACTAAGCTAGGTGCTACCCATTTGCTTTTTTGCAGCCTGTGACATAACTGGGATCATAGTTTGTGAAAGGAGTATAGCTTCTGTCAAAAAAAAAGGTGTGAGAAACACCTTGCGTGGATTTATTTTGCTAAAAACTATGTGATGTGTTTTGTAGTGACCATGGCACAGAGATACAGTTTCTCCTTCCTGTTTTAACTGCAAATCTTAAGGATAGTGAAATCTATTTGAGGATGGTTATGGGAAACCCTTTGAAGTGTTCCTTCCACCATCAGTTTCACAACCAGGTCACAAAACAGCCTCTGTTTTGTTAATTGAAACAGCAGTGGTTCAGTTTTCCATCACTTTAGGCTTTCTTCTCCTGTCTTCTCTGTACCTTCCCTGTCTTCTTCCTCATGCTTATGCCGTGGTATAAGTAGCCAATGCAAATATGGTGTTCCTACTTACTAACAAAATAATGGCCTTTATTCTTAAATCTTCTTTTAGTTAGTCTTCTTTCAGTCTGCCTTTGATTGTGACAACACAGTATGTGAAGATCTGCTGTTAGCAAACACACAATCCTCGTATGCACAGATAAATATGCTCAGTCACGTTATGTGGCCATTGTGTAGGGTCACGTTATATCCTTTTTGTGGTCAAGTACAGAGGACAAGTTGAAAGGACTGTTGACAGCGAAGATGCCCCAGAGGACAGTGATATCTACATGAAAAGAGCCCATTGCTTTGTTGGTATCCTAAGTCCCAAGTTTGTCCCAGGCTTAGTGACATACATCTCAGTAGACACTGAAAGATCTTGGTGACTTTTTTTCCAGAATGGGAGAACCTCAGCTGACTAATTAGAAAGAAAAGAGACTCATTCACTTTTTTTTTCCTAAAAGAGAGTTTGAGATATTGGTGCTACTGTCCATCACTTGTACAATTGTGTAAACATGTTCTAGGAAGAAGGGAACTGTGGTTTTGTCTAAGGAGGCTGATAGCTAATATTTCCAAGAGAGTGAGCTGCACTAGGCTGGCTGCAAGCTGAGGTTGGATCTGTATTTGGCTTTGCTTGAAACCATAGCTTTGTGCAGCAAAGAGTGAAAAACAGAGGACTTTCAGAGAATGATCCAAATCGACTTCATAGCCCTGTAGTAGGAGTGCTTCTGTGGTTTTGGTCCTTGTTAACTCCATGTTACTCACAATGTTAGACTAACGTTATTTGTTCCAGCTAAGATCTCCCTAACAAAACTAAAGATGTGAAACTGTTCCAAAGCTGTAAGGAAATCACTTCTGCTTTGCTCTGTATTTGTACCTTGTGCTGCCCCAGTTTTTATTTCTTATGTTTGTTTGAAAACCATACATGTGTATGAAATTATACACACATGCCTCTGCATCGTGTGTAATTGGAATCCTGAGATCTACTGTATAAATACTTTTTGCTGTTAAAATCTAAGAAATATGTCTAGTTTTTATGTCCCTGCTGATGGATTTTTTTCACTGAAATGTTTGGTTATTAGTTCAGTTTAGTTTTGTTTTCTCTCCCCCAGTGTGTTCTCTTCCATCACGCTGTGGCAGACTGTGCTGTTGTGGGCCAGGAGGATCCTTTAAAAGGACACGTTCCATTTGCGCTGTGTGTACTGAGAGAAGGTGAGAGCTCGTTAATACTGATGCCACTAAGACTTGTAAAAGTCCCAGAAAAAGTAAAGGATACAAACTTCCTCACCAGGTGTAAAGACAAAAGAGCAGAAGATTTTGGAAGAGATTGTTGAGCGAGTTCGAACTAACATTGGTCCGGTAGCAGCTTTCCAGAAGGGCGTGTTTGTGAAACAGCTACCGAAAACACGCTCTGGCAAGATACCACGTTCAGCTCTTTCTGCGCTTGTCAGTGGAAAGCCATACAAGGTAAGCTGGAGATGCGTGTTTTAGTGAATGAGGCACACATGCACAGCTAAAGATGCAATATCACGGTTTCGATCCTCTAGACCATTCTGCAACTGGTCCATGACTTCAAGTAGTACATTGTATTTTATTTCTACTGTAGCTTACTCAGAAGTTCTTCATGTTCCAGAGCTTTCCAGATCCTTCTTCTCTTGATTGTTTTTGAAGGCTAGATTTAGAATCACGGAATCACAGAATTGTTGAGGTTGGAAAAGATCTCAGATCATCAAGTCCAGCCCATGACTCACCATCATCACATCGGCCAGACCAGGGCACTAAGTGCCACATCCAGCCTCTCCTTAAATACCTCCAGGGACGGTGACTCCACCACTTCCCTGGGCAGTGCATCCCAGTGCCTGAGCACCCTCTCCGTGAGGAAGAGCTGCCTGAGTTCCAACCTAAACCTGCCCTGATGCAGTTTCAGGCCGTGCCCTCTCGTCCTGTCACTGGCTGCCTGGGAGAAGAGCCCGACCCCCACCTGACTGCACCCTCCCTTTAGGCAGTTGTAGAGAGTGATAAGGTCCCCCGTGAGTCTCCTCCAGGCAAAAAGAAGATTCTCTGCATTAAAGAAGATTCTCTGAACTAAATTCTGTTTTACTGTTGAAGGACCACAACATATTATGACGTTTCTCTATATTCTTCCTTTTCAGGTAACACCAACCATTGAAGATGCTAGCGTGTTTAAACATATTGAAGAAGTGCTAAAGAAAAATTAAATGGTATTAGTACATTGATAACAGAAATGTCAGTTACTGGAGTATACAGAGACTTTCTATTAGGAAATACCACATTTTAAAAACTAGTAATCATATGGGATGATTTTTTTTACTTCAGAAATGTTACTGTGTTCTTTACCCTATTGTTACAGCCCATGAACCATATTAAAGTCTCTGCATGTTGTCATTATATGCTAGATATTAAGATTGCTAAGAATTGCGAATGGAATTCATACATTTCTGTAGCCTTGAGAGGAAGAAGTCACTGGATTATCTGTGTCATATAATGTCGTGTAACCTTACATTTCAAGGCATTTTTTTTGTAATGTGATAGGCAACTTGAGTTTTGCCAAAACTGCTTACAAAAGGTAAGTTGTGAACTGAGGACAGCAATAAATAGGAATTCTAATGTGAAATTTATTTCAGACATAAATTGTCTTCACTTGCAAATTACGAGTGTTTATGTCTTTCATATTTTAATAAATCTTTACATTTTAAAATCAGTTTTCTTGGTTCCAATGATTATTTTTTTCCTAAATCTTTCTGCTACAAATCAGATTCCTATAATTTTTTTACTCAATAACATTCTAAAGTGTCTTTTTTTTTATAGAATAAATTTTTGTAGAATAAATTTTTAGCTTGGGCTACCAAGCTGGTAAAGTGCTTAGAACATAAGTCTTATGAGGAAAGGCTGAGGGATCTGGGGCTGTTTAGCCTAGAGAAGAGGAGATTGAGGGGAGACCTCATCACTCTCTACAACTACCTGAAGGGAGGTTGTAGAGAGGTGGGGTTGGACTGTTCTTCCTAGTGGACAGCGATAGGATGAAGGGAAATGGATTTAAATTGCGCCAGGGGAGGTTCAGGTTGGATATTAGGAAGAATTTCTTTACTGAGAGAGTTGTCAGCCATTGGAACAGGCTGCCCAGGGAGGTGGTTGAGTCACCGTCCCTGGAGGTGTTTAAGAGATGGGTGGATGTTGCGTTGGGGGGAATCGTTTAGTAGGTTGATAGGGCTGGGACAAAGGCTGGACTTGATCTTCAAAGTCTCTTCCAGATGAAACTATTCTGTGATTCTATGATAATTTCTGGCTTTTAAATGTGTGAAAATCTTGGTTTATGTATAGTAATCTTCTATAAAAACTGTGTATTTTAAATTACAGCAGCCATTTACCTTTTGCATTTTATGATAATTTTGTTGTTGTGATTTGTATTACTTATGACAAGGATAAGCAGAATGTGCTTTCACTCACATAGTGAGATGTTTCATGCTCATTGAGAGAGATACATTACTAAGAAATGTAGCAAATACAGATACTAGACAGCCTATTCTTGACTTTATAGTCCAGGAAGGAGGTGGTCAGGGACCTGCTGTTCCACATCAATGTCCAAAAATCTATGGGGCCAGATGGGGTACATCCTAGAGTCCTGAGAGGACTGGCAGAGATGTTCCCCAAGCCCCT